TATATATATATATAGCACTGCAGGGAACATATTAGCTAAAGAAAAAACTAAATCAATATGTATCAAAATTTTGTGGATTTTATTTTAAAATCTCTATTATATAAATGACTATTTCAGATCATTTACAGCCTACAGGAAAGGTGCAGATCACTGGAGACATTTTTCAGTTCACTCTTGATGTGAGTGAATTTTCTCCAGAGGATGTCATCATTACATCCTCCAACAACCTAATAGAGGTGCATGCAGAGAAGGTGAGCCCTGCAGTCAGGCTGGTGTAAAATCAGATGTTATCTGTGACAGTAACTTAACTGATGGCCTGAGTTATATTATTAAGTTATATTATTCATTTATTTAAATGAAATTAAAGCAATGCACTGGCTTTAGTTGTTTGATTGTGTGTTAAATTTTAGAACTATTTGTCTTCTTTTGTTGTGAAACAATACACTTTTGATTCAGGACCTGAAATTTGGATTTATATCTTTTGCTGTCTCTATGGTGTTTTCTTTGAATTTGATGGCTTGATGGTTTCATTGATGGTTTAACTTTCTGCTTTGTTCTGTTCTCATAACCTGTTTTTGCCGTGCAGCTGGGTGGAGATGGAACAGTCACAAATACTTTTTCCCACCAGTGCAAATTGCCATCTGATGTGGACCCCATATCTTTGAGCATGTCCATGGCGAGCGGTGGGCTCCTGACTGTCAGGGCTCACAGAGTGTGTTAGTGTATAATTTCTGTGCATTTCAATTAAAACACATCAAGCCTCGTTTTATTTGAACTGTCTTCTTTGCTCCGTTGTATTTTGCCTGCTGTAACCTCAACATTAAGTGACTTACAAATAGAGTTCGATGGAGTTTAGCGACCTCAAGTGTCCGGGGGAAGGACTGGGGGAAAGTTTTTTTTAGAATGTAACATTTATCTTCAAATGGGAAGGAAATATACTGAAACATATAGTTGTTGAAATAAATGCAAATAAGAGTAAGTAACCTTTATCATATTAAAAAATATCAACTGTAAAATATCC